CGCGGACGCGCTCAAGCTTGTTCCGGATCTGGTGCTTGAGGAAGTTGTCCGTGCCAAAGGCGTTGATGTTGATATACTTGCACATGGACACGAGCTGAGGACGGGACAAGTTGTCGAGGGTGATGTCGTCGTGGAAGAGCTTCGCGACCCGAATGACATCGGTCTGCGATGGCTTCTCGCCGGTCGACCGGACCTGAAAGGTCTCAACACGAGCATGCTACGATACACTGTCGGTGCTCACCTTGCGGAAGAACTGCTTGAACTCGTCGCTCTTCACCACGCTCTCCGCCTTCAAACCCGACTCGCGGACCGTCTCCTGCAAGAACTTGGCCATCTCGATCCGCACTCGGAGCAGCTTGCGCTGTTTCTCAGCCGCTGCGAGATCGCCCTCAAAGGTGCTAGGAAGCATGTTCGGGAAGAGCCGGAGAGCGACGGGAAGGAGGAACTCCATGAAGGGGACAATGACGAAGACCGAGAATGGGAGTAGGCGAAGAAGATCCGTGGTGGTGCGCTTAAGCTGGGCCAGAGTCAGCATGACACCGGACACTCTTGAAAGCATGCTTGTGCTCACCTGTCGTCGCTCTCTTCGAGTGAGGGTGCCGCCATTGAGCACCTTCCATTGCAGTTTTGCACTGATTTTGATCTCCTGGCCCAAAAGCTTGGTCCCGGCCCAGTAATGCGCCGCCTCCTTTTTCACCGTCGACCACACTCTTGTCGAGAGCGAGCCCGACTTCTCCTCCTTCTTCTTGGCGATTGCCTGCTCGGCCTTCTCCTCGGCCTGTTCCGCGACTTTCGGAGGGGAGGCGTTCAACGGGGCCGGTGGGGCGGGCGGCGGGGATCCCGGAGGAGGAACGCGCGTCGGGAGCTGGTTCGAAGTAGCGGTGGAACCTGAGATACCGCTAGGAGGAGGAGGCTCGGATCTTTGCGTCGTCTGAGTCTCGGTGGAGATGGGTCGATAGAGGTGAGGTTGGCGGAGGGACGCGAGAGGGATGGACGGGTGGATGTGCCGGGGTGAATAAGCCGTGGTGGAGAGGAAGGCAGATCGCAGCACGCTAGCAGTGAAGTGGTCGGGCACATGGGCTGGAGCAGGCGACATCAGTGAGGTGATCCCGATACTCAGAAGGGTCGCGGACTCACCGCGAGGGACGCCGAGGGCCCGCTTCTGCAACAACGCTTGAGGAGCCCTCCTCCGCACCACCGCCGCCACGTGGGGCGAAGAAGGTCCGGCTGCCGAGCTCGCCAACATGTCGAGTAGGATCAGGGGTCGGATATGTATAACAGATGCGAGACAAGGTCAGCGCATGTCCTAGGTGGATTGTTTGGCGGATGATAACGACGATGAATGGAGAAGGAAGAATGAAAGAGAGGATGAGAGTTGACGGTTCTGGAAAAGTACGATACACAGGTTGCGAGAAGCGGCCGAGGCTGCGGAGGTCCGGCGGAATCAATTTTATATAGGGGGAAGGGAGGGGAGGGTTGCGTGGCCGATGCCGAAGTGTAAGAGTGAGCTCACTCGATTTCGATGCGTAGCGAGGTCTCTCGGTCTTCATCTCTCACCTGTGGCCCATCCCGTCATATACCAACAGACTTGACAGTCCTGGCGGCTGCGCACACCATGACCCTCTCCAACCCGCTCAACCTCCTCCTCATCCCGCCGATCCTCTACCTCGCCTTCCGCATCGTATTCCCTTCTCACCCTCCGTCCACCAACGTCGTCCCCGGAGAGTACGATGCGGACGTGTATAACTGGATGCCTGCAACGCACCCCGAGGTGATCGTGCACCGCAAGTACACGGCGCAGGAGCTCGCGGAGCTCGACGGGAAGGGGGGAGGGAGGATCTTGCTGGCGATCATGAGGGTTGGGAGGGATGGGAAGGTGTCCAAGGGGTTGGAACGGACCGTGTTTGATGTCAGCAACGGGAGGAGCTTCTACGGACCAGGTGAGGCGGCCTGTATCCACATCTGAATAGCAAGAGGATCGGAGCTCGTGCCTGTTACTCCGTCGCGAGGAAACGACTCGGTCGCATCAGGCATCGCCGGGCAAAGTTGAGCTGACTCGTGTAGATGGGATGTACGGCAACTTTGCAGGCCGAGACGCCTCCCGAGGCATGGCCAAGCAGTCCTTCGACGAGGGTGAGTCGGAAGCGCCAGACTGCTCGGTAGTCATCATGCTGATTCGCTGTAGAGATGCTCACCCCGGTCGACCAAGCGCTGGATGCCCTGGACGATCTCACTCAGTCCGAGGTGTAGGTCGTTCCCGTCTTCGTGACGATCAACTAGTGCTGACCGCCTGACCCTCCAGCGACAACATGAGCGGGTGGCACGAGCACTTCGAACGCAAGTACACCGTCTGCGGCGAGCTCGTCGAAGCGAACGCCGAGGATGCCCTTAGGGGACTTTGACGGGTCACTCCCCGCGCTTCCCTACCGTTACGAAAGGTCACGAACGATACGAAGCATGCAGGTCATGCGCAACGCTCAGAACTTCCCTCTGGATCACTCACGCTGCCTGAGGTAGCTCTCCGTTATCTGACGCACAACATCACGCTGTCCACCCAGACTGACCGACTAGAGATGACCACGCCGTGAGTCGAACCCAGCCGGAGCTGACTGTCCATGACCTGAGGCGGCACCTCGCCATTGCGAGCACACCGGTCTGACGGCACATATGTAACACGGCACATATGTAACATGGGACCCATTAGCAAAACGGAAAAACATGGACCACGCCGGGAGTCGAACCCAGCTGACCTCCATGACCTGGTGAGCGGCTCGTCCGCACGGACGCCCCCCTCGTTCGGTGCCCGTGCGGGCAAGCCGGCTCCCAGTTCGACGGAGGCGCCTAACCGCTGGCGCCTCACCGCTTGGCTACGCGATCTCTTCCCGTTTAGAAGAGAGCCGGACGCCTTTCATACTGCTTAGGCAGAGGGGTGACATGACTACAGCGAGGCGTGGCGCCATCAGACACAGATTAACTGCTTCAACCCTCCTTTGGCGAGAGCATCGAGGATGGAGTCGTTGCGCCAGCCAGTGTCCGCCCGCACAGCATGATACACCGGATGCAGCACAATGGCGCACTCAGGGAGACAACCAGCCAGCAAAATGGAAAAACCAAGGATCACGCTGGGAGTCGAACCCAGCTAACCATCCATGACCCGATACGGCGACGGAAGCCCATCGCCGTGTCGTTTCGGAGGAGGCGCCCTACCGCTTGGCTACGTGATCTATGCGTGTTCGTCGGCACATTGTGCATGAGCCATTCTCCGAGGCTCCCGGGGTGGGGGAAGCAAGGTCGATGATCACGTTGGTCGAGAGGACACACACGCTCACACACCCGTCACTACTGATCCGGCCGGAGGTGGCCGACGACCTCGACGCAATGTGTCCCCTTCACGACCGCGTGTACGGCAAAAAGCAATCAATGATCACGCTAGGAGTCGAACCTAGCTGACCGTCCATGACCCGACGGACCAGGGGCGCCCGCTAGTCCGCCAGTTCGGCGGAGGCGCCCTACCGCTTGGCTACGTGATCGATACACCAGGACGAGGGTGCAGAGGTCCTTGTCTGACGCCTCAGGATTGGGTGAGTCAACCGTGATGTAAAGGATGGTTGTCGAGAGGTCAAACATGCCTGTGCAGCCGCAGTAGATACCTTGGCAACCATCACTGACGGAAGCTAGCCTGGATACCGGTGACGGTTGCACACATCGCAAGCTACATACACCACGGCACGATTCTGCGTAAGCCATATCAGCAAGAAAAAGCAATGACCGCGCTGGGAGTCGAACCCAGCTAACCATCCATGACCCGTGAGGAGGGTCGGCCCTACCTCCTTCCTCACAGTTCTGCGGAGGCGCCGAACCGCTTGGCTACGCGATCACTAAGTGGATCAGAGTGTGCAGGATGCCTGATATGCCGCTTCGAGGGAGAGGAGGGGAGGAGGGAACAGGTACATATGATCTGGAAAGTTGAAGAGCCGGGCAGCGGGGCAGCGGGGCAGCGGGGCAGCGAAGGGGCAGGTGTAGCAGCGCGCAGGGGAGATCATCGAGCTGGTGGCGTCCCCCTTGCTTAATCGCCTCGCTTCCTCCCGGCGCCCCGCCGTCCCATCTCTATGATCGTATCATTGTATGGTCCCACTTCACGCGCGCGCTACACAAAAGATAAGACCGCGCAGGGAGTCGAACACTGTTTCTCACTCTCCTGGAAGTATTGAGCCTGGGCGACGTTCACCTGGTCCTGGTCATCTTGATGATTCCTGGAGATCCTGGTGTCCTGGATATCTGCAACCTGGAAGAAGAGAGTCCTGGATAGTCGATCAGTCGAGTGCTGCCCTGATAAGTGACGCCTTAACCGCTTGGCTACACGGTCTTGGTATGGTTTATATAGGGATCGTGGGTTCATGAAGTGCAAGAGGGCCCGTGCTGCCGTGTGCACGAGGCTGGGTCGCGAGGCTATAAGTGGCGGATGGTAGGTGACCACGTCATGTGGGGTGGAGGGATTTTCGGGGTAGCGGGGGAGATAGGGGGCCGTCTCTGATGTACGAGAGGAGTTGCGCGTTCATAGGGAGCCATGCACTGGTGGAGAAGGTGATCATGTCCTCGGATATTGATCTGGCATCGAGAAAAGCGCATAGCAAAGTGAGTAACCAGGGCGGGGTTTTGGCGCCACAACGCCACTCCTCCCGTCGATCCTCCGTGCCTGATCGAGTTGTGTGTGCCATTCAGCATGGCTGATCGCTGATCGACCTGCCTCGTTGCAAGCCTAGATGTTGATCGAGGTGGCAGCAACGTTGCTCACCTAACTTGGCATGGCACCGCATGAAGATACAATGGAGTGAAATGGTCGTCCGCTCGAACGCAGACATTGGCCCAAAGGGATACTGCATCACGCCGGCCCCCGCCCCTGCCCACTCTCTCCTCATCCCACTCGAGCCCTTTCGTCCTTCTCACCCTCCAGAATCACACTGCACCTCTACGAAGCTCCACGGAGCCCCCAAAAAGCCTGATCACGCTCGGGTTTGAACCGAGGACATCTGATGTATCGGGATAGCTTCCTTTGCCCAGTTCAGGACTAGGGGCCGGAGGAATCTGCCGTGTAAGACCAGCGCGATAAACCACTTCGCCACGCGACCGTGTGTAGCGTCGAGCAGTGTGAGGAGGGATGGTGTGTGGAATGGAGTCTTGGAAGAGGCGATCACGGTGAATGGTGTGAGAGTGTGGGAGGGATTGATGATGGAAGTGGGAGATGGATCGAGTAGAGGAAGTCGAAAGGATGGTGGCTCGCATTCGGGTCGGCCGGTCGGCACTTACAGTTCCTCCGTTTCTCGCCCTCACCTCGAGTCACCCATCTTTACCGACTTGTGGTCTCACGGCAGTCCTGTTCATTGCAATCACTACCCGAACACATTCCACCAAGTGTCTAGATCCGGGATCGGGGAGAGTGACCCAGTCCGCGACACACCGAAAGCATGTCGGGCCTTGCACAACTGACCTGGGCGGCTCGGGGTTAGGATGGGGCACAGCAGACGCGATGCACACAGCGTCCTTTTCAGTACGCTCTTGAACTGTGTCGTGTGGGCGCGGCCGGATCGACGGCCTCGCGGCTTCGCTCCCCATCGTGCGAGAAGAGGCGATTCGAGATCAGACAGGGTGTCGTCCTGATCTGATGTGTCGTCGAGGCGGTCTCTGTCGTATCTTGCCGTGAGTGGACGTGGACCACGTTGCGAAGTAGTGAGCAGTCTGTACCAGTTCCGTGTGCATGTCGATTCAATCTCGATCCGTCGTCAGTAAGGGACGCGCAAGTCGGGAAAAGTCTTGGTAGCCTTTGATAGCAAAGCTCTGATGCGCATGCAAACGTCCTGGACGGAGAGGGGTCCGTCGCGTTGTGGAGTGCCGGGTCAGCGACACACCCGGGGACTGAGTGTCCCCAACTGAAGAGCTCTTCAAGACGGGTCTCGCCGGTCTCGCCTGCCTGCCGTCCTTGGTTCTTCAAGGGTGTTCACAACAGGACTTGTTTGCGCGGTGATGATCAAGGGGTAAGCACGTTGAGCACTGTCAGAAGCGTCGGCCCATTCACGATGTTGACAACGCGGACGGGCGCTCGTGCCTTGCGCCCTCCATGAATCCATCCATCCATGCATCCTTTCGTCCTTTCGTCCCATCGCCCACTTGCGCCCGCGCCCGCGCCCCACTCCTCGGCGAAGCGACTGCGGGGCATTCCATCCCAACTTACGCCCGCTGCAAGGGCCGAATCCTTTCAAAAAGAAGCATCGCCTTCGCGCCCAGGACGAGTCGAACGTCCCCCTCCCTCACTTCGCCGTTCGGCCGCGTGCAGACCCAATCAGACCACCGCAGTGGGAGTGGTCACTTCACGAGACTTCGGTTGATTGCGGGCGCTCACCGCTGAGCTATGGACGCGGTTTGGGTACGTGTGGGTACGAGCCGTTGTGAATGCCCGTGGGCTTCTCCGGACTGTCATTGGGATCGTATAGGTGATCACGCCGGTTTTGTGGCATTTAGCATATTAGTGAGCGCAACGATATCATAGAGGCGATTGTGAACTGGAGCAACCACCTCGCCAAGCGATGTCTCGTCATAGTCCAGCCTATGACGTCATTACGTCATCGTCCAATTCCCAATTCCCCCACTGCTGGCTGGCCGTCGATCCCTTCCAAACCTTGATCCGAGGTATGCATGCACTTTCACGCTCCACCAGCTCCAAAGCGGCGCTGAGCGAGGCGAGACGACCCTAAGGATGTGGCTCACCACATGCATATATATACCGCCTAGAACAGCGCTCCCCTGACTCTTGCCACCCAACGTCTTCCACATCACCACACATACGATCTTCGACACCGCTCCCACTCGCCTATAGCGCTCACATACCACATCATCATGGGACTCTTCGGCACTTCAGACCCCGTTGAGAAGCAGGAGAAGATGCTGGACAAGGGTGGATCTCAATTTTCTTCATTCCTCACTCCCGTGGCCACCGCGCCTCTCAATGGGTTGCCATCCTTGGGATACGATCGTTGCGGATCGGCCTGGCTAGGGTTGTCTCGGGTCGTTCGGATCGCTCGGAGCCCTGGCTGACTCCACGGCAGAGAACAGATCCGAGGAGAAGTCCATCAAGCAGGCCATCAAGGATATCGCTCACGCGGAGAAGAACGAAGCGAAGGGAGCAAAGGCGGAGACTCATGCGCACTCGGTGAGCCCTCATCTGTCCTCGCGAGCCCAGGACTTTGGAGTTGGATGAGCCGCTGATGGCGCCAGGTGCACGAGAAGGCAGCGAAGGAGGAGGCAAAGTTATCGAGCGAGCTGCACAAGCTTGAGCAGAGTGAGTTGAGCACATAATCGGCCATTCCGAAATCATAGCGGTCGACTCACACTGCCGCAGAGCACCAGGCGGCCGCTTCCAAGGTCCAAGCCACCGCAAACGACATCAACACGAAGACGAGCGAGCACCAGCGTCTCGCCCAGGCCGTCGAGCAGAAGAAGAGCCACCTGAACCAGCTCGAGTCGCAAGTGAGTCTACTCAATCGGAGCGGTGCGTCACGATCAGAGCTGATGACGACTACGCAGCATCACGAGCACGGCACTGTGCGCGAACACAAGCTTGCTGAGCTGCATGCGACACACGAGCCCGCGGTCGTCTCTGGCGCTGGCACTGGTGCTGGTGCTGGAGCCGGAGCTGGAGCCGGGCAGCTGCACGACCAAGGACTCGCGCAAGGTCAGCAGCACGCCGGTGTCGCTGGCGTTGGAGCCGGACACCCCGCTGGTGCTGGCGTGGGGAGTGGAGCAACTGGAGCGACCGGCGGCGTTGCAGGAGCGCAGGGTACTGCACCGACAGAGGGGCAGCGCGTGTCAGAGGCCGCTCACCGCATGTAAATAGCCCAAGTATAATGCACGAAGATTTGAGGTATGCGATGATCCCGATGTGGCTGCGTCCAAGACATTGAGGGCGACGGAAGCAAATTTCTCGTCCTCGCGGCAGCGCCTTACAGAGTACTTGATAAAGACGGGGCTGTCTTGCGACGTTTTTGCCTTATTTTGTCTCATTGCATGGCCGGAATGTCGTGAGCCTGAGTCATGCAAGTGGACAGTTTGAATGGGAAGGCAATATGCCTACCATGCTAATGAAACCCGACGTTGTATGGCTCGCAGCAGACAATGCCGCCACGCCGGCCCACCTGAAACGCGGACAAGGGGAAAAGCGGAGAGCGCAGACCCGGTCCGCGTTTCGTGATTGATCGCCCCGTCTTTGACCCGCTTTGACCCCCTCCGTTGATCGTTTGATCGTACCTGAAACACACAAGCGGCCGCATCGCACCGCATCGCATCGCAGTACATCGCAGTACATCTGACCATTGTTCGTGATTGGGATATGTGTTCATGGAGATTGAAACTCCGCAGGCGACGGTTCTTGCAGTGAGAGAATGTCTCGGTTGGCATGGAGGCGGGTATTACATTAGGGGGGCCGAGACATACTCCGACTATATCCAGCGTCTCGTCTCGTGTCGTCTCGACACGTCGCGTCCAAGCGAGTGTCGATCAGCGCAATGCAAGGACGACCTTATGTCTCCCTCGGCCAAAGGTACCCCTCGTTCCTCCATCGACTCCGGCTCTCGCTCTTCTCATCGTGCGCTATCCTCGATACTTCGGCGCAGTTTCATCAGATCGTACCTGTGTGTTGTCCTCTCCTCGACTTTCATCGCACATGATGGCGCGGGCTTCCGTTGAACGAGCCGCAGCTCTCGCGTCGTCGCTCAAATACTGCGATGGGATCACTCCCCCCATCCCCCACGTTCACCAAATCTTTCTACAGTTCCTCCACGTACCATAATCACTAGTATAGTGTCGATATCACTCCAGATCGACACTCACGCTAGCTCTCCTCACTGAAGTCGCTCTTTCGCAACCTGTACCCTGGCATTCCCCCACTGCCGCTTCCCCCCGCGCTCGTAATGCTCGCCACCAACCTCCTCGCCCTCGTCCTCTTCGCCTCGTCCTCGCTTGCCGCCCCAACCCGGACGGGCGGAGGGGAAGCTCTCGCGGCTCGCGCGCCGGAACATGGCGAGCATCACCACTACAACGTCCTTGTGGACACGCCCGCGCCGTCCTCTTCTCCCAGTGGTGGATCGCGCAAGAGGAGTGTGAGTGAGAGTTTGGGTCTTCGAGGACACCATCTTCCCTGCGCAGTATCTGGAGAAGCAGAGCTGAGGGAGGTGACAGAGCTCGACGACAGACGCTGACGACGCAGGACCGCGCCACCATCCCCATCACGCTCGGTCTCGGTCATGTCGACCCCGCCAGGTGCCCTTCCGGAATGATGGCCTGCCCAGTCACGACCATGACTCCCTTCGAGGCGGCCAACGTTAGCGCCGACGAAGAATTCGACTGGTGAGTAGGGTTCGATCAGGACCGATGGGCTGCTCAAGTCCCGTTGCTCATGCGTCGTAGCGTTGAATGGCAGGACGACCTGTACTCGTGCGGAGGCTGCTCGACCATGGGGTGAGTGTGGCGCGTGACTGACCATCAGCGGACGAGTTTGACACTTGGCACTGACGACTCGCAGGACCGGTATCGATTGCACGGCTCTTCCAGGTGTCAGCTCGGTCGGATGCTCTGCCGGAGCGTGCCATGGTGAGTCGGTGGTTCGACGAGGCCACAGATCGAGTCCACTAGCTGACTCCATCCGTCTTCTCGTGCATCACGGGCTACATGCCCTCCGCAAACAGCACGATGTGCCAGCCTGGACTCATCAGCAGCTAAACCCGGCGCGCGAGGATTCCTCCAATGTTAAAAGTGTCCCTCCTGTCGTTCTTTTCTTCCTGATCAGCCGCTCAACCGAGTCAACTGAGAGCCTTGCTCTACTACGGTGATTCGTCGGTCCTTTATGTGTCATCGGCCTTGTCGCCCTTTCGTCTGCATGTCGCCCGTCCTTTGTCGCGGAGCCGTCGGGTCCTCGATTCTTCGCTCATCTCCCACCGCCATCCACCCTCTCATCCTGTTGACCACGCCGTGTTGCGCTGGGCGCGCATCGCCCTTAGACATAATATGTTCATAGCTACGTGATATGTGACATGGACAATTGTTTTGCACAGTCAGACGCCCATTGTACTCGTACTCGTAC